TGCCACTGGGAAGCCCTGGGCACCTTCCCAGTGTCCCGGTCCATGCAGGTGGCAGAGACGTGTCAGCTGGCAGTGAGGAGGCTGGAGTGGCTACAGGAGAACAAGCAGGAGCCAGGCACCAGCCCTTACCTCTCTGTAGATCCTGCTCCTCCTGCCGAAGAGACGGACATCGCCAAGCTCCACAGAACCCTCCTGGATGAGTCACGCACGCTGTTTGACCGCTACAGGGCCATGTTTGCCCTGCGAAACCTGGGGGGCCAGGCTGCTGTGCTGGCACTGGCAGACGGTAAGGCCCAGCGTGAGGCTGCCTGCAATCTCCTCGCTGTAAGTCTGTACAGGTTAATCCGGGATTGGCCCTTCCCAAATCCAAGGCTGCCAGAGCTGCCGGGCTCCTTTTAGGTGCTTCATACGTTTGTTTCTAGAGGTGCCATCTCCCTGCTTGCTTGCAAGAGCTCTGTGCTGTCTGATGTTTCACAGCCCCCTCACTGTCCTCCCAGGACCCCTTTCTCCATGGGTCTGGATGGGAGAGGGCACAGTCTGTATTGCTGGCTTGGGACCAAGCAGTCTGACCTGGTGGGACCTGGCCCCAGGGTGTTGAGATCCTGCTCTCCCGTCCTGGAAAGTCAGAGGCTGCCAGCCTCATTCTGCGGTTTGAGAATAGCTCTAGAGAGGGGAGTGAATGTCTCCTGAGTGGGGAAGGGGCTGACTACAGCCCAGGAACTGTTTGGACCCAGCCCAAGGGAAGTGGACGGGGCTCTCCGGCCATCTGGGACCAGCTGAGGGCACTGTGAGATGAGGGGTGCAGGAATCTGTGAGCTCCTGCTACGGCCATTCGGTCCCACAGCACGGAGGGCTTGAGGCTGTGGCTGTGCTGCCAGTCCACCCCACACACTTTGTAATGGTGGGGCAGGGCCCATGGGCAGTGGCAGCCTCCTCGGGGCAGGTGAGGGTGCTGGCAGCTCTCCCAGGAGGGCAAGTGCCACCGTCATGAGAGGGTGTCCCTATGCTGCTGGGGCAGGGCTGCGAGCATGTGGCGGTGGGGCTGCCCTGGCTGCACGGGGTCAGCTAGCAGAGTGGAACAGCCCTTCCTGGAGGTGTTTTATCCCCTTCCCCAAAAGTGCTCATGGGTCTGGGGTGATGACTGCCGGCTCTAACACCCAGCCAGCCTGCCCCATGGCTTCCCCTGG